GCTTTCTTTCTGTGGTATTTGATTGCTTTTGCGTTTTTTATTTTTTGCGCTATAGACAAAGACGGACAATTTTGAGAAAAAAACAATATTTTTTTACTTTTTGCTATTAAACATGTCCAGTAAAAAAAATTTAAAAAAACGAAATTTCGTCATAAATTTAGGCCAAATGTATTCTGCTACATGTCTTTGCTACAAAAAATTCTCAATACATGTAAATTAATTGGTTTACATGAAAGTTAGTGAGCGGTTAACAAATGGCGGTATATACAGTATACTAGATTTTTTTTATTTTTTTACTAGTAATGGTGGCAATCAGCGACTTATAATGGGACTGCTGCGGGCATTCTGACACTGGGGAGAACTTACTTGGTTTCACTGACATCCCCAGTGACACCAAGACAGTGATCAGTGCTAATAAAAAGCACTGACACTGTACTAATGGCACTGGACAGGAAGGGGTTAACATCTTGGGCGATCCAAGGGTTGTTTTACTACATGCTGTGTGTGTTTCGCGGTAGGCACACTGCTTTGTATGGCTCTGCATATGTATTGTTTACATACAGGTCTCTCCCCTGTTGGAAATCCTCAGAGATCGCCGGGTGCTGGCGAGTAATCACTGTGAAATGGTAAAGCTATGTGAGCGCACTAAGATGGGGGGGAAAAATAACAGCAGCTATGCACAAAGGTAACCAAGATAAAACCTCAATCAAACAATACAGTAATGGTGCAGCGCTAAAACATTAATACCATAAAATCTTATAAAAATGTGATGAATAAAAGTTCATAAATGAGCGTAAAATGGTTTTTAAAAGTTCAAAAGTGACTTTCAGCTCTCCTAAAGTGCCTGTTTTCCTGGTGGGTCGGTGCTTGTGCAATAATTGTGGAAGAATTGCGTACTCACCAGATGCGCAATGTTAATGCACCCATAAATATAAATCCAGATGTCATCAGGGTATCATCAGGGTAAACCAGGTACTGGGGTAACTTCCCTCTGAAGGGTGGGATGGTACATCAACTGGATCCTGGGGCTTTAAATGTTGATCCAAAATCAGCCAGAGCTTCCCCTTAAGGGATGGGTGGGTGCTGCTCTAAGGATGTGCAGGAGGCTCCCTCTCTGGATACTGGGCTGGATCTTATGCAAGGCGTCTGGAAATTAAATACTCGTTTCTAAAAAAATAGAGTTATCTTGGTGGGAGGTGAACAGCGACATTTAAACCAAAAATTTTACAGAGGACAAGCAAAATTTCTGCTATAGGGCGGTGCAAAAGCGGTTAATACTATTGTATTTTTTCCTGAAAATATGTCTTTGACAAATAGCTGTGCAAACATCATATGACGCAAACATAACTTGCAACATCCACCATTTTATTCTCTGGTCTCTGCTTTCAGAAAATATATACTTTTTGGGAGGTTTACAGTAATTTGTAGGCAAAGATGGTGATTTTAATGAAGGACTCGGGGAACTTTTTTTCCCCATGCAGTGGGGCTGTGTCTGCTTTGCATGAGTAAAATACTAGTTTTTGTCTAGGGGTTCGGAGAGCGGAGATATACTTACCTAATCTGCCGATCCTCCAAGTGCAAGACTGGTCCCTATCACTCCTGTCTCCCCCATGCTAGCAGTCGTTTGAATTGAGTGTTTCTGATGTAATCACACCCATAGACTGGCTCTGGATTTTTGGGATGACCGGAACAGTCCACTGCTGGACGTGGGGAGGTGTGGTTTTCCAAAGGATCAGGTAAGTATAGCCTTTCTGTACACCCCTAGAGAACAAGGAGCAGTTGACCCATTCAATGCAGACACAGCTGGGAAAACACCTTGACTGGAGTTCTGCTTGAACATGCAAAATGTGGTTAAATGTACCGGAAGAACAGAACGGGAAGCTTTTATTTATTATTGTTTATTGTAAAATCATTTTGAATCGCCCAGGTTGCTGTTTGCTCTACGAATGCATAGCAGTACATTATTATCACTTCATCTCCTTGCCTATCATAAAGCATCAATAATACCCCAACTTCCGGGTAAGTGAGGATTCTAAGCGCGTGCTCAGAGTGTAGGTTCCCTGAGCGCGCACGCGGGGCATGTTCTTGTCAAGCGTGTGTCGCGTTCTTCAGTCACGTGATACGCTTTTTCTCTCTGTGGCGTGCAGAAGGAGATTTTGAAAGCGAGCGGGAGCGCGTCTAACTGTCCGGCGGTACAGTGTGTGAGCGCGGAGGGTGCCAGGGTCCCCGGAGACGGAATACAGCCCTATATTATATACAGGGAGCGCCGGAGAGAAGACGTCACCACAATGACTGTAGAGAAGAAAGGACTCCAGATTAAAGAAGCCTTTGACTTGTCTCAGAAGCCGCACCAGAACCTCGCCAAGCTGGTCACCGGGCTCAGAACCACCTATGACCAGGTGAGTGTGGGGGAGGGGTCATCCTGGGTCTATCATTGGTGTCTGAGCAGGATGTGGACATTTAAAAAAAACAAAAAAAACTACTTGTCCAAGGAACTAAATCAGGGTCCCAATCTACTTGTCCCCATGACAGTCTACATGTCCTAATAAAACTTTTTAACCAAAACCGTATTTAATTAAGGCTGACCATCCCTTCACTCAGCAATCACGCCGCTGACCATACCTATTGAGGTGGCGTGTGGAGCTCAGGTATGGTGGGAGGTGGCGTGCGGGGGGGATGGTGGGAGGTGGCGTGCGGAGCGCGGGGATGGTGGGAGGTGGCGTGCGGAGCGCGGGGATGGTGGGAGGTGGCGTGCGGAGCGCGGGGATGGTCGGAGGCGGTGTGCGGGGGTATGGTCGGTCGGGGGGCGTGCGGAGCGCGCGCGCGGGATGGTCGGAGGTGGCGTGCGGTGATGGTCAAAGCTGGCGTGCGGAGCGCGGGGATGGTCGGAGGTGACGTGCGGCGCGCAGGGGTGGTCGGAGGTGGCGTGCGGAGATAGTTGGAGGTGACATGCCACCTCTGATTATCCCTACATTCAGCAATCACAAAGTACAATGCAGTATGTGGATGTGACAGGTGGAGTAGATAAGTAGTTATAGGACAGAGTTTAGCCACTTAGTCTACCGGGCACTTATACCCGCTTCCTGCCCAGGCCAATTTTCAGCTTTCAGCGCTGTCGCGCTTGGAATGACAATTGCGCGGTCATGCAATTCTAATTTTTCAAGACAGAGCTTTATTTTGGTGGTATTTAATCACCCCTGGTTTTTTTATTTTTTGCTAATCAAACCAAAAACAACTGAAAATTTTGAAAAAAAAAAAAATTTTTTTTTTTAGTTTGTTATAACATTTTGTAAATGAGTAATTTTTTTTCTTCACTGATGTGCGCTAATGAAGCTGCAGTGTTGGGCACTGATAGGCATCACTGGTGGGCATTGACTGGCATCACTCATATATGGCACTGACGGGCAGCACTGACTGGTACTGATAGTTGGCACTGAAAGGCAGCTCAGATGGGCACTGATATGTGGCATTGATGTGCACTGATGGGCACTGGCACTGTAGATGTACCCTCTGAGGAATGCCAATTACTGGCTCTCCCCTCCTCACAAGCTGTCCGCTGATTGGTGATTCACTGTGTCCCACCACACACGTGGTTAGAGTGGGAGGACGTCATATGACGTCCTCCCAGAACAAAGGAACTGCTGCCTGTCCGTCATTTCCTTTATATGGCAGTCAGGAGGTAGTTGGTGTGTGTTGCCATTGATATGTCCTCTATGGTGGTCTGGGTCCTGAGCAGGGTGGATTTGATTTAAATCACTAGTCAGTAAGGTTGATTTAAATCCTAGTTTTCTACATAAAGACTAATTCTTGCTGGTATAACTTTAATATGAAAGTAGATGAAGATTTTTTAGAATAACAACTTTTCATATTAGTTTTTTTTATCCCCAGTTTAATAGGTTAATCATTCATATTTGGACAACTTTTCTGTTGTACTTAGGAAGGAGAAAAATAATCATTACCTTAATAATAACAATTTAAATAGATTTATTCAACTGAAACAATAACATTCCAGCATATGTGATTTGCTTAAACATCCATGTTTGTTAACTAATTTGGCTAAACAAAATATATATATTTTAAGAAACTTAGACTGTCGGCCCCTTCCTCCTCACACTTAGTTTCACTTTTTTCTTGTGCAGATATATTCCACTCCAAACAATCAGAAAAATATTGTTTCTATTCTATTCACTGAACTTCTTGAAACTTAGCACTGAAGGGGTTGATTCTGTATTCATAGGTTTGTAGAAGTTAGGATTAAGGTCTTTTTCTTAACTCTGTTCATGTTATAACATTTTTGCTGTGAAGAAGAGGCATGTGATCTCCGCTGAGTCAAATTCAGTTGTGAGAACTGCAAAAGTAAACCAAACATCTGTGATAATATCTTGTAGGCAGAGAAACTGCCCAATAATCTTACAAAAACCTCTGGAAGAGCATGACATTGTGAATGGATTAATGGAATTTATTTACCAAACAAATTACCGTATTTTTCGCTTCATAAGACGCACTTTTTTTCCCCCAAAAAAGGGGGGAAAATGTCAGTGCGTCTTTTGGAGCGAATATAGAGCGGCCGGTCCAATATTTCCACCGCCGCCATGTCAGAATACCGGGCCGGCCGCTCAGCTCTGCAGTGGGACCTTAACTGTCCCTCTATCCAGCGGCGCGCTGTCTTCTCGGCTTCTGTAGTGTGTGTGACAGCCGGGTCCCAAGTGCGCATGAGGAAGAAGCAGTGCTCTTTGTGAATGGTAAGGCGGTACCTGGGACACATGACAGATCCCAGAAGCCGCCGGACCAATCACAAAGCGCAGCGCTTCTCGCGCATGCGCACTGGGCATCCGGCTGTCCGACGAGCGAGCGCCCACACTACAGAAGCTGGGAAGACAGCGCGCGGCTGGATAGAGGAACAGGTAAGATAAAAAAAAAACTCTGCGGAAGTAAGAGCGGGTACCTGTCAAATTCAGGTACCCGCTCCCCCTCCCTCCCCAAAGGTCAGCAGTCATCTCCTGTACTGTCCGCAGTCTCTGTTCATCCCTGTGCTGTCCGCAGTCTCTGGTCATCCCTGTGCTGTCCGCAGTCTCTGGTCATCCCTGTACTGTGTCCGCAGTCTCTGGTCATCCCTGTACTGTGTCCGCAGTCTCTGGTCATCCCTGTACTGTGTCCGCAGTCTCTGGTCATCCCTGTGCTGTCCCTCTGGTCATCCCTGTGCTGTCCGCAGTCTCTGGTCATCCCTGTGCTGTCCGCAGTCTCTGGTCATCCCTGTGCTGTCCGCTGGTCATCCCTGTGCTGTCTCTGGTCATCCCTGTGCTGTCCGCAGTCTCTGGTCATCCCTGTGCTGTCCGCAGTCTCTGGTCATCCCTGTGCTGTCCGCAGTCTCTGGTCATCCCTGTGCTGTCCGCAGTCTCTGGTCATCCCTGTGCTGTCCGCAGTCTCTGGTCATCCCTGTGCTGTCCGCAGTCCGCATCCCTGTGCTGTCTGCAGTCTCTGGTCATCCCTGTGCTGTCCGCAGTCTCTGGTCATCCCTGTGCTGTCCGCAGTCTCTGGTCATCCCTGTGCTGTCCGCAGTCTCTGGTCATCCCTGTGCTGTCCGCAGTCTCTGGTCTCCCTGTGCTGTCCGCAGTCCCTGTGCTGTCCGCAGTCTCTGGTCATCCCTGCAGTCTCTGGTCATCCCTGTGCTGTCCGCAGTCTCTGGTCCCCTGTGCTGTCCGCAGGTCATCCCTGTGCTGTCCGCAGTCTCTGGTCATCCCTGTGCTGTCCGCAGTCTCTGGTCATCCCTGTGCTGTCCGCAGTCTCTGGTCATCCCTGTGCTGTCCGCAGTCTCTGGTCATCCCTGTGCTGTCCCGCAGTCTCTGGTCATCCCTGTGCTGTCCGCTGTCATCCCTGTGCAGTCCGCAGTCTGGTCATCCCTGTGCTGTCCGCAGTCTCTGGTCATCCCTGTGCTGTCCGCAGTCTCTGGTCATCCCTGTGCTGTCCGCAGTCTCTGGTCATCCCTGTGCTGTCCGCAGTCTCTGGTCATCCCTGTGCTGTCCGCAGTCTCTGGTCATCCCTGTGCTGTCCGCAGTCTCTGGTCATCCCTGTGCTGTCCGCAGTCTCTGGTCATCCCTGTGCTGTCCGCAGTCTCTGGTCATCCCTGTGCTGTCCGCAGTCTCTGGTCATCCCTGTGCTGTCCGCAGTCTCTGGTCATCCCTGTGCTGTCCGCAGTCTCTGGTCATCCTGTGCTGTCCGCAGTCTCTGGTCATCCCTGTGCTGTCCGCAGTCTCTGGTCATCCCTGTGCTGTGTCCGCAGTCTCTGGTCATCCCTGTGCTGTCCGCAGTCTCTGGTCATCCCTGTGCTGTCCGCAGTCTCTGGTCATCCCTGTGCTGTCCGCAGTCTCTGGTCATCCCTGTGCTGTCCGCAGTCTCTGGTCATCCCTGTGCTGTCCCAGTCTCTGGTCATCCCTGTGCTGTCCGCAGTCTCTGGTCAGTCTGCAGTCAGTTCAGAATTTTTTTTTCCTGTTTTCTGCCTCTAAAACCTAGGTGCGTCTTATGGTCAGGTGCGTCTTATGGAGCGAAAAATACGGTAAACATATACAGCCTTATTCTACATAATTAAAAAAACTAATCTTTATTTCATGATGGAATAACCTTTGGATGGTAATATATTTTCCTCAAAAAGAATTTTATTTAAAAAAATCAGATTTAAATAAAAAAAATCCAATTTAAATCAAACAAATCCAATTTTTTTGATTTTTTAAAAAAAAAATCATTGATTTTTATCCACCCTGGTCCTGAAGCCGCCTGCTGTGTGAGTGTTCTGCAGCAGAGTGTTTGCAGACGGAGGGATACAAATTGAGAGGAGAGCGAGTGCTGAGGGGAGAGGTGTGGGAAGGGCGGCTTTTCAGCATGTCCAAGAAGGAGGAGAGTAAGGAGTGTGGGAGTGGCCAGGACTGACGGGGGCTGCTGAGCGGAGTGGATGGTCTGAGGGAGCCGCCGAGCTAGTGAGAGGCCGGCAGGGAGGGGACTGCCTACACCGGACAGCAGCATGGATGAGTGGAGAGCTTGCCAACTCTGGTGTAGCATGAAGATCTGTTCATGCTTCACTGGTGTCCACTCCGCAAAAAAAAAAAAGTAAACCCTGCTGCTTGCCCGCATCAGGGCTAAATCTAAATAAACACCACCTGCCCGATGTCTGGAACTGCATGTCCCGGGCGTCAGGCGATATGAATTGCACATCCCTGCTGATGAATGTCTGACATGTCAGTTTACCCCAAGGTCCCATTCACGTCTGTGCAACAGCATAGGACAGCCCATTCACTCGAAGAGACTGCCCTGCATGCTGCAAATGCGCAAAAGTAACTCCTGCACCTTTGTTCTAAAAATCTTGCCTGTCTTTGTACTGCGTGTTTTGGGATGTGACAAAACGCACGTCTCCTAGCTGTGTTTAGGGTGCACAATGTGTGTTTTGGCACTTTTTTTGTTGCATGTTTTCAGTAATGTGCACAGGTACACATGTTTCTGTGCCTGTTCACGGATCACAAAGATATGAACATGGAACAAGGCTGGGTCACACTGTTGCAGGTGGTGCGGCTCGCATTTGTGCCAGCACAGCAGTCCATTCGTTTGAACTATCAGGGATGTGGACATTTTAAAAAAAAATACTTGTCCCAAAGGACTAAATGGGGGTCCTAATCTGCTTATTACTCATGACAGTCTACTTGTCCTGATAAAAAAAATATATAACCAAAACTGTTTAAATCTGAGGTCCTTTTAGGAGTGTCTGCAGCTTTTAAAAATGAAAGAGACTTTATGGCGCCTTAAACTTTTAATGTTTTTAACATTAGGGAAAATTCACTAAAGGTTATCGCATGTGTTATGTTGGTCACGTGACCACATATGTAGTAGTATGAGGTATTTACCACAAATCGCAAAAACACTCGGTAAATACCGTATAAAAAGATGGCAAAGTCACAGAAGGAAATAAATGATTAAATGCATGCAGTAATTAAGTAGTGGTCGAGGCATGTGGTATGTACTGGTTGTTAAGGAGTGGGTGGCAACCGGCATCCTTAACAACCAATAACTGTCATGGTTGTTAAGGTGCAGGCGGCTGCCAGCGTCCTTAAAAGCTGATGAGTCATTAGCTGTCAGCGGGGTTCCCCACTCACAGCTGAATGTGAGGAAAAAAAACAGTGACAGTTGAGAGATAAGGAAAAAAAAAGGCCAGTTGAACACACCCCCATTGACTTCATCAACCCAGCATGCCCCGGTTGACAAGGGAGCGTGGCCACCCGGTGTTGTCACCTGATGGCCCTGCCCCTTAGTTATATAAGAACTGTCAGGTGGTGGAGCTGTCAGACGTGCATTTACATTTGTTTTAACCACTTGCCCTCCTGAGGATTTACCCCCCCTTCCTGACCAGGCCTTTTTTTGCTATACAGCTCTGCACTATTTCAACTGGCAAGTGCGCGTTCATGCTATGCTGTACCGAAACAAAATGTATGTCCTTTTTTTTTTTCTCACAAATAGAGCTTTCTTTTGGTGGTATTTGATCACCTGTGCCCTTTTTTTTTTTTGCACTATAAACAAAAAAATGCTGCAAATTTTGGAAAAAAAAAAACTATATTTTTTTTTACTTTCGGCTATAAAAAAATATAGTACACTCAGTCATAAATTTAGGTCAAAATGTATTCTGCTACATGTTTTTGGTAAAAAAAAAAAAATCCCAATAAGTGTATATTGATTGCTTTGTGAAAGTTATAGTGTGTACAAACTATGGTATAGATCAGTGGTCTCCAAACTGTGGCCCTGGGGCCAGATACGGCCCTTTGTTTGCCTTTATCCGGCCCTTGAGGTACTGTTCCATCCACTGACATCAACAATGCGGCATTATTCCTCCAACTGAAACCACCAAAAGGGCACAATTCCTCCCACTGATACCAACGGTGGGGCACAGTGCCCTCCGTTGACACCAAAGATAGGGCATTGTTTACACCCAATGGACTCCAGGACATTTTCTACTCCCACTGGCCCCCCTAAAGTCTGAAGGACAATAAACTGGCCCTTTGTTTAGAAAGTTTGGAGACCTCTGGTATAGATAATGGAATTTATACAGCTTTTACTTTGACTGTCGTACACATATCTTAAAATACCAGGACAGTACAAACACCCCCAAATGACCCCTTTTCGGAAAGTAGACATCCTTAGCTATCTGCTGAGAGGCATGTTGAGTCCGTGGAAGATTTTGTTTTTTGGATGTGTTTTTGTTGGATGTTTTTTTTTGCACATGGACTTTATCACATTTATAATATTTTTTTAGTCACGTTATTTATTTCTTCATTGTGTTATTGTATTTTACGATGCACAGTAATACATTATTTTGGTTTCACTGTACGCTTATATCACCATTTTCTGTTTTATACTAGTTGCACTGTATATATGTTTGCCTCATTTATTTATAGTATTTATACGGTCAGTAGTAGTTTTCTGTCACATGGCCTTTTGATGCACATTTTGTTATGACCCTTTAGTCACATGGTCAAATTTTTTGGCCTCACTGTGCATTGTTGTTGTCATTCTTCCGTGATAAGTGGTTTGTCCATTTTTACTTTTAATATTTAAGAACTTCATGTTGTATTTTTCACATTTTGCTCCACTTTCTTTTTTACAATGAATTTTATTATAGACAACAACAAAGAAACAGTCAGAGACAAGCTCCTTGATACAAAAAAAGTAAGGTGTACAATTCTGTTAGTGAAGGACATAACAAATGCACTGAAATATTGACACGGCGAGAAGCGGAGTACAAAAACACAATCTCAACAGGGATGGAATGAGACCCTATAAATTGCATTAACAGCAAATAACCAATGAGCTGGTGAGCATAGACCAAGAATAGTCACCAGAGTCATATACAGATGATAGGAAAAGCTGAGCATAAAGTCTCACTGCACGCACATTGGAACCCTACACCAAGGACTTCCGAGCAAGTCCGACCTGTGTATAAGACATTACAGCCACAGTTCTCTAGGGTCATCGCAGTCAGTGCATATAACCTAAAAACTGACAGAAACAAAAAAATAAAGGGAGAGAAAAGCCGAGAAAGGAGAAGCAAAAGAATAGTAAAGACAAAGAAAGGGCTCCAGGGGATCGCACCAGGAGAATCTTATATCGACAGGAGGGTCTGGTCAAATCTAGAAGGTTGAGCCACATCAATCAAAGGATGTCAGATCTGCAGAAACTTAGTGTGGGTGTCTAACAGCATAGCCATTAGCTTCTCATTAACCATTATAAAATTCATCTGATTCTTAACGGCTTCAAAGCTAAGAGGGGTTTTCCAAGCTCTCGCAATTGTCAATTTGGTAGCCATAAATAGATGCTAGCTGCCACTCAGGACGGAGTAGGCCTACTAGTGGTTTAAATAATAGTTCCTCATATGGGTTACGCTTAATATCTGTGTGTAGCATAGTATGGAGAAGGGCATAGACCCTAATCCATAGTCTGCATACCTTGGGGCAAGTCCACCAAATATGGGCCATAGTACCTATTTGTTGACAATCCCGAAAGCAAGTCGGAGAATATGAGGGAATAAAACTAGCCAGCTTTGCTCCACCTTCTCATTAGTTGTACTCACACTATTTCATTTGTTATGACCGACTCATGTCCCACTATTACTGTGATTTAGTTAATATTTTATTTTTTCCTGATCATTTCCATGCGTTTTGGTCACGGTTTGTCTTACACCTTCTGGTCCTCATTTTGGACCTTTTTATTATTTCACCTTTTCCTTCACTCCCGTATTCCTTCCATTTGCTGATTATGTTATGGTGTATTATCTATTG